TATAGATTTTTGTATATAGGCAATTATAAATTAACAACATATTTGTACTATATTAAATTTTCTCAGGGCAGCAAGAAAATGTATACATAATGACAAGTAAAAATATCTACTTCAATGTGAAATACTAAAAACAAGAAAATATTATGTGATGATAAATATGGCGCACAAAATAAATTGTCTACGTCTTTTGTCATTATATTTCATGTTGTCAATGTAAAATGTGTTTAATAGGTCTGTTGATATATGTTTAAAAAATCTGTTTTCATACATGTGAACCAAAATCAGATGAGCTATAAAGTTATTGTATAATTTTTAAAGGTAGTAAATATTTTTAAGATGAAGAGAATATCAAAATAGAAGCAAAATAACTGAGAGGTCAACGATAAGTGGGAAAGATTTATATTTTAAAATAAAAGAAATTCAATAATAATATATTCAGAAAGTATAAATGGAATACATAAAGAAAAATATGATTGTAATATTTCGCGCATGATTCAAGCAAAAGAATTGTCAAATGGAAAATATTAAAAAGAAAAAAAGGAAAGAGCTAATAATTATTTCAAGGAATCAACTAAGACCTACATTAATGTATTGATGAACAACATTAACTTTAGTTTTTGCTCTCCCTTATAAAATGCATATATGATATTATCTTAAAGAAGATAAAATTGTTTCTTTTAATGTAATGTCTTGACTATTTCGTTGTTTCTGTTTTACATGTTTGTTTGGTGATCAGGTTGCAATCCTTGGATGTCAATATATCCCAGTATATAATGTCCATATTCGTTATTTCGAGATGATTTCCTGTTGCCGTCAATTTGTTGTATATGATTAGAACGCTGTCTTCGTATCTGTTTATTCATGTGTTTGTTGCCTTTTGATACTGTCCTATTGTCGCTATTGTCATCGTAACAAAAAAGGCTTTGTGACAATGTCTTTTAATTATATGTCAAAAACAGAAATGTAAATTCAGTGTTCAAACAGTTCATATTAAAATTCATATTATTATCATTGCCATTTCCTGAGGCCATATATGATTGACAGCTTTTCCCAATATTGGTTTACTCCTTTTCTATCATTAATGAAAGTATTTATGTTCTATGAAATATAAAACAGTAATTGTATATGTTATTTGTTTTTTTCGGTGTTTCTCTTCAATGAATGGTTACGTCCATATTCTGTAGGTGGATGTGCCAATGCTGAATCTGACATCATTTTCATCTTGGATTCGTCCACTAGTGTTAGTGCACCAAATTTCAAGAAAATGCTAGATTTTATAGTCGATTTTGTATCCGCTACCGATATAGACAATGGAAGTGTGCGAATTGGTGTTGTTCTATACAGCACGGACGTAGAAATACAGTTCCATTTGAATGAGTATAACACAAAACAAGATGCCATAGATGCAGTAAGGGAAATACATTTATGGTAGCACAAACACTTACGGTGGACTCAACGTAATGCGCACGCAAATGTTCACGCAACAGAACGGAGATAGGCCTTCTGTAGCCAACATTGCTATTCTTCTCACGGACGGTGTCTCAAATGTAAATGCTTTTGATACGATTCCCGAAGCTGAAAAGGTTAGAGCTGACAACATCCACATCTACGGCATCGGTATTGGCCTAGCTGACACTAAGGAATTGAGCCAGATTGCGTCTCTACTAATCTCTGAGAATATGTTTGTGGTCAAGACCTTTGATGAGCTTTCCTTTTTGAAAGAGAAAGTGTTTGAACAGTTTTGTCCATGTAGATATGAGCATGACTGGCAGGTCTTGGTAATAGTATTTTTTTCGTTTTTTACAAATGAATCAAATCATACAATGTACAACGACTAACATATCGTATATCTGTGCGTTTTGAAGCGTTCATGTGAATATAGTTGTGAAAGTGAAATGTGATTATGTAGTGTACAACACACAGAAACAACTCGTCACAAAATATATGTAAATAGCTTGTATGTTTACAATTCATGACCATATTGCAGATTACTTAAGAAATTATCATATTGTTTGTCCGAAAATGAACATATTCTACGTATTAAAATTTAACATTTTTGACAGCCGTAGGTTTTGGTCTCTGTAAAAGGCACTGAAAAATACATATTATCACTATATTAAAAAGTACAAAAAGACATCCAATTCTTATACTTACTCGCGTTTATTACTCAATTCTTTCATGTGCTAATCTCATTGACTCAAATCAACAACAGAGAATCTTTATCTAACTTGCTTTTTTTCTAGATTTCCCACTTTCTTTTGTTGAGAATATCATCGACAGACATATACACTGTTTTCACCAAATACATAAAAGTTTACCATCCATTATACTCAATTTCTCTTATTTTGCACGATAAATAATCAATAGTGACGTTCTTGAAAATTTATGTAAATTTTCTTTTGATTATTTCATTGATATCAATTTTATATCATGATTCTTTTTATTAAATTGATAGTGCAAATTTATAGACATGATGACTATTTCAAAACCAATATCACTTACAAAATACGGCTATGTAATTCAAACATCTACCATCGAATATACCCAATATATCTTTATTTTTTTTCAAAATAAATACAGAATCGGTACTTCTACAAGGAAACAAGATTTTCTTTTAATGATATGCTTAAAATTACTTGGCAATTTTAAGATATTTCAATGAAATTCATTTACCAACATGAGGATACTTTTTATCATAATATATTTCGATAGCAAAATAGCCATGAAGCCAATATCCCTTAGAAAGTATGGCTACTTTGATCAATTGAATTGACAAAGCAGAGATTATACCTAGTAATATGAATTATACATATCAAATAACTGAAATGAAAAGTTTGATCAGCAAGTGGAATCTACACGAATTTACAAACATGATGCATGAGAATTTATTTAATGAAATAGCATTTTACCCAAATGTTTCAATGTAAACAATTTATATCTCACTTTTATTTTTTGATTTGGTTGAAATATTGTTTTTCCTAAAAAGCTGTCTCCGATATTACGCAAGTAATGAAAGTCACGACAGAGGAGTTAAGCGAAAATTTTACGTAGCTAAAATTAAATTGTGTATCAATGTCACAATTACATCAATACACAATAGGTCAAATACCAAGTAACATCATCTATATATTAATCTGATTTAATTGGAGACATAGAAACATATAAACAGGGATGAGCGAATTCGACTAACGAAATTGTGTGCGCATGTTACAATACAAATATGCCGGTATATGTGTGAGTGCCTGTGCACGTGTTTTCGTGTGTGAATTCTATCAGTATGTGTTTGTAAATATGAATAAACATGTAGATCTGTACTTGTTTTTTTTCATAAAGGAGGCTTCGAACAAACATCACGGGCAATAATGACCCGACCTCCAATCACTGTGGCCCCTACTGCAAGAGGTGAGATCATTGCGCACATCTTTTTTTTTTGCCTTTATACAGATAAAAATACAGTCATCATCTACTTTCAAATTATGATGAATAAAAATGTGCTGTTTATAGACAAGAATATTCTTGCGAATGTAAAATAAAATTTCTTAATATCACCAGTTTGTAACTATATCAAACACACAGTCTATTTATTAACACTTCGTACATCTTATAGGATTTGAATTTCATATTATTTCTCATTAATATACATTAGCATTATTATTGTGACTATAATTTTTATTTACAAAATTATTTTCTATTGCAATTTTACTATATTAATTGAAACCAATCTACCAATAGGTCTTACTATTGCACAGCGTTGCTACGACCATCTAGAGGAACAATTATTTTGCTTCTTCTGCAGCTATTCAAACTATATAGGCGCCAATAATTGTATTAACCGTTAGAAGTAAGTGATGAATCATATTTTATCTAAGATAACATATTATGCAAAGAATCCATCTGATTATACGTTCTGTTATATTCTTTTAGTTAAGACCTATTTCCTTGAATGTTTAAACATTATTTCACGAAGAATAATTAATTTTCGATATCAAAACGATATCGATGAAGCAAATTATATAAAAGGAAAGAGTGTTATCTACTTCTATGATTGTACTCCATTATACATCTCTGTTATGATGCATATACTTTTGTCTTTGCTTCTTCGTTCTCATGAAATTCATACGTGATATTTTCTTAAAGAATGGAAAATTGTATTGTTTATTTAATACATTGTCTTGCTTATTTCCTTGTACATGTTTTATATATGTTGTTTAATTTTTGAAAATAAGTTTGCAATTCTTAATTGTCAATACATCCCGATGTCTCATGTCCATATTCGTTATTTCTTGATGGTTTCCTGTTGCAGTTAATTTGTTGTCTATGATTATCAGAACGCTGTCTTCGTATCTGTTCCTTCCTGTGTTTGTTGTCTTTTGATACTGTCCTGTTGTCGCCATTGTCATTTTTGTGACAATTTGTTTCCACTATTTTTTCTCTTGTCAGAATCGTGTGAAATGTATCCCCAGTGTTCTAACTAGAAAAAAAGAATGCTTAAAAATCTTATTAAACTTCATATTATTATCATTGCTACTTCTTGGCTCAATATACGATCGTTATTAACATTGTCTATATATGTATACTTATTAGTACCATTCGCATATTGAATGTGCAAAGCAATTTGCAGGCATTCAAGTTGAATGAAATGTATAAAAGATATTGTATATGTTATGTTTTCTGTTTCTTTGTTCTATTTGAGTGAATGGTTATGTCCATATCCTGTAGGTGGATGTGCCAATGCTGAATCTGACATCATCTTCATTTTGGATTCGTCCACTAGTGTCAGTGCACCAAATTTCAAGAAAATGCTAGATTTTATAGTCGATTTTGTATCCGCTGCCGATATAGACAGTGGAAGCGTGCGAATTGGAGCTGTTCTGTACAGCACGGACGTAGAAATACAATTCCACTTGAACAAGTATAGCACAAAACAAGAGGTCATAGATGCAGTAAGGGAAATCCCATACGTTTATGGTAGCACAAACACTTACGGTGGACTCAACGTAATGCGCACGCAAATGTTCACGCAACAGAACGGAGATAGGCCTTCTGTAGCCAACATTGCTATTCTTCTCACGGACGGTGTCTCAAATGTAAATGCTTTTGATACGATTCCCGAAGCTGAAAAGGTTAGAGCTGACAACATCCACATCTACGGCATCGGTATTGGCCTAGCTGACACTAAGGAATTGAGCCAGATTGCGTCCTTACCAATCTCTGAGAATATGTTTGTGGTCAAGACCTTTGATGAGCTTTCCGTTTTGAAAGAGAAAGTGTTTGAACAGTTTTGTCCAGGTAGATATGAGCATGTCTGATATACCTTGATAATAGTAATTTCTTTACAAATGAATGAAATTATACTCACAATATGCAATGACTAACATATTGTATATCCGACTTTTTGACGCGTGCATGTAAATATAGTTGTGAAAATGAAACGTTATTACGTAATACGCAACAAGCAAGAATATCTCATTACAGAATGAAAGTAAATAGCAAGTATATTTAAAATGCATGACCATTCTGCAGATTAATTAAGACGTTTTTATATTCTTTGTGTGAAAATGAACATATGTTACGTATGAGAATTTTCTTTGTCGATAGTCGTAAGTTTTCGACTATGCAAAAGACATTGAAAAATACATATTTATTGCTTTATTAAAAAGTAATTATAAAAAGATATCCGATTCGGCCGGCTTACATTTACACGTGTTTATTGCTCAATTCTTTAATATGATAATCTCACTTACGCAATTTAATCAACAACAGAGCATCTTTAATTCACTCTTAAGGAACATGTGTTTTTCGTTAAGAATATTATTGATAGACTTACTCAATCATTTCACCAAAAACCTAACAGTTTCTCATCCAATATACTCAATGTGTCTTATTTTACAAGATAAATACTTCACAAGTACCTCTACAAGCAAACAAGATCTTCCATTAATGATATTCTTAAGATTACTTGACAATTTTGATGTCATTATTTCATTGAAATTAATTTAACTATATCCTGATTTATTGTATCATATTGATATAGCATATTTATCTACAGGAAAATAGTCATAAGGTCAATATCCCATTAAAAGCATTGAATTAACAAAGCAGAAAGTAAACAGATCAGAAACATCGCTCATTTCAAGAAGTTTGGCCTATAAATATAAATGACGGAAATTAAAAAGCTACGTTTATGAACTACAAAACAGACCACGTACAGCTGGTATCTATGTTATTTTACACACATTATGCATGACAATTCATATTTAAAAAAAAGCGTTTCAGCAAATGCTTTAATGCAAACTATCTGTAGCAAACTTTTATTTATTGATGTGACTCCGAAATTTTGTTTTTCCTAAATAGCTGTCTCCAAAATGGCGCAAGTCATAGAAGTCAACATAGAGAAGTGAAGCAAAAATTTTTGGTAGCTGAAATTAAATTGTGTATCAATGTCAAAATTATTTTATTACACAGTAGTTTAAATACTATGTAACATCATCTCTTTATTAATAACTGATTTAAATGGATACATCTGGATATATAAATTGGGATGTGTGAAAGCTACTAACGAATATGTGCGTGCGTGTGTGTCTTTCTTTACTAATTTGCCGACACATATGTTCGAGTGCGTGTGCATGTGTTTCCGTGTGTGAATTCTATCAGTATGTGTTTGTAAATATGAATAAACATGTAGATCTGTAATTGTTTTTTTCCATAAAGGAGGCTTCGAACAAACATCACGGGCAATAGTGACCCGACCTCCAATCACTGTGGCCCCTACTGCAAGAGGTGAGATCATTGCGCACATCTTTTTTTTTTGCCTTTATACAGATAAAAATACAGTCATCATCTACTTTCAAATTATGATGAATAAAAATGTGCTGTTTATAGACAAGAATATTCTTGCGAATGTAAAATAAAATTTCTTAATATCACCAGTTTGTAACTATATCAAACACACAGTCTATTTATTAACACTTCGTACATCTTATAGGATTTGAATTTCATATTATTTCTCATTAATATACATTAGCATTATTATTGTGACTATAATTTTTATTTACAAAATTATTTTCTATTGCAATTTTACTATATTAATTGGAAACCAATCTACCAATAGGTCTTACTATTGCACAGCGTTGCTACGACCATCTAGAGGAACAATTATTTTGCTTCTTCTGCAGCTATTCAAACTATATAGGCGCCAATAATTGTATTAACCGTTAGAAGTAAGTGATGAATCATATTTTATCTAAGATAACATATTATGCAAAGAATCCATCTGATTATACGTTCTGTTATATTCTTTTAGTTAAGACCTATTTCCTTGAATGTTTAAACATTATTTCACGAAGAATAATTAATTTTCGATATCAAAACGATATCGATGAAGCAAATTATATAAAAGGAAAGAGTGTTATCTACTTCTATGATTGTACTCCATTATACATCTCTGTTATGATGCATATACTTTTGTCTTTTCTTCTTCGTTCTCATGAAATTCATACGTGATATTTTCTTAAAGAATGGAAAATTGTATTGTTTATTTAATACATTGTCTTGCTTATTTCCTTGTACATGTTTTATATATGTTGTTTAATTTTTGAAAATAAGTTTGCAATTCTTAATTGTCAATACATCCCGATGTCTCATGTCCATATTCGTTATTTCTTGATGGTTTCCTGTTGCAGTTAATTTGTTGTCTATGATTATCAGAACGCTGTCTTCGTATCTGTTCCTTCCTGTGTTTGTTGTCTTTTGATACTGTCCTGTTGTCGCCATTGTCATTTTTGTGACAATTTGTTTCCACTATTTTTTCTCTTGTCAGAATCGTGTGAAATGTATCCCCAGTGTTCTAACTAGAAAAAAAGAATGCTTAAAAATCTTATTAAACTTCATATTATTATCATTGCTACTTCTTGGCTCAATATACGATCGTTATTAACATTGTCTATATATGTATACTTATTAGTACCATTCGCATATTGAATGTGCAAAGCAATTTGCAGGCATTCAAGTTGAATGAAATGTATAAAAGATATTGTATATGTTATGTTTTCTGTTTCTTTGTTCTATTTGAGTGAATGGTTATGTCCATATCCTGTAGGTGGATGTGCCAATGCTGAATCTGACATCATCTTCATTTTGGATTCGTCCACTAGTGTCAGTGCACCAAATTTCAAGAAAATGCTAGATTTTATAGTCGATTTTGTATCCGCTGCCGATATAGACAGTGGAAGCGTGCGAATTGGAGCTGTTCTGTACAGCACGGACGTAGAAATACAATTCCACTTGAACAAGTATAGCACAAAACAAGAGGTCATAGATGCAGTAAGGGAAATCCCATACGTTTATGGTAGCACAAACACTTACGGTGGACTCAACGTAATGCGCACGCAAATGTTCACGCAACAGAACGGAGATAGGCCTTCTGTAGCCAACATTGCTATTCTTCTCACGGACGGTGTCTCAAATGTAAATGCTTTTGATACGATTCCCGAAGCTGAAAAGGTTAGAGCTGACAACATCCACATCTACGGCATCGGTATTGGCCTAGCTGACACTAAGGAATTGAGCCAGATTGCGTCCTTACCAATCTCTGAGAATATGTTTGTGGTCAAGACCTTTGATGAGCTTTCCGTTTTGAAAGAGAAAGTGTTTGAACAGTTTTGTCCAGGTAGATATGAGCATGACTTGATAATAATAATTTCTTTTTTATTACAATTGAATCAAATTGTACTCACAATATTCAACGACTAACATATCGTATATTTCTGTACTTAGCGGCGTGTTTATCAATCTGCTTGCGAAATTAAAATGTAAGTAAACAATTCACATCAAGCAAAAACATCTCATCAGAAAATGTATTTAAATAACTGGCATATTTAAAATACATGACCATATTTCAGATTACTTAATAGATTTTCATATTGTTCGTGTGAAACTGAATATGTACTACACGCGACAAATTACTATTCTTCTACTTCTATGTTTATATATGTGCAAAGGCACTGAAAAATAAATATTCATTACGATATTAACATGTCGATCTAAAAAGATATTCGATTTTACCGTATTTCAGTTGAATGCTTTTTTGCTAAATTCTTTTTTATGTGAGTCTATCTGAGTCAATTAAATCAACAACAGATAATATTTAATTGACTCATTCTTTAACTAACTTAATTTTTTTCTTTTTATTGACTTTTTTTATTGATAGACTTACTCACACATTTCATCAATAACGTAAGAGTTTTCCATCCGATACACGATATATGTCTTATTTTACAAGATAAATTTTGCATAGGTAGCCCTACAAGGAAACAAGTTTTTTCAATGTCGATATTTTTAAAAATATGTGGCAATTTTCAAGTCATTATTTTATTGGAATTGATTTTATCTTGATTTGGATTTATTTCATCATATCAATAAAGCGTATTTTTCGAAATTAAAACTATCATCTAGTCAATATCCCATTACTACGTAGTTCAATTGAATTAACAAAGCTAGAAAATAAACAAATCAAAAATATTGAAATTTCAGTAATGTTTGGCCTATAAATCAAATATAGGAAAAATTAGGTTTGGGACGTAAATGAACAAAAAAACAGACTCGTATATATATATATATCTATATTATATATATATATATATATATATATATATATTCATATAAAAAAAATGATCTATGAAAAATTAAATGAAGAAAAAATGTTTTACGCACAGATTTCAGTGTATTTGATTGTGACTCTTATTTTTGATGTTTTCGTAAATATCTGTCTCAACAAAATGGCGAAAGTAATCTTGAGAAGTCAACATAGATTGAAGTATATCAAATTAAAAGTTTTGGAAACATCAAGGAAAATTAAATTGCATATCAAAAACAAAATGATTTTATTAGTATTGCATGTTTAAATAATATCAAATGTAACATGAATCTCTTTATTAAAATAAAATAACAATTTGAATTGGATACTTTTCTTGGATATATCAGAACAGACACGTTGAAATGAGTGGAAGCTACTAACAAATACGTGTGTGCGATTGTCTTCCTCTACTAATTTGCCAACATATATGTGTGTACGTGTGCATGTTTATCGGTGTGTGCATTCTACCAGTGCGTGCTTGTAGATATGAATAAACATGTAGATCTGTACTTTTTTTTTCAATAAAGGAGGCTTCGAACAAACATCACGGGCAATAGTGACCCGACCTCCAATCACTGTGGCCCCTACCGCAAGAGGTGAGAACATTGCACGCATCTTCTTTGATTTGATATGTATAGAAAAATACAGTCAAAATTCAATTTCACATAACGGTGAATAGAGATGTGTAGTTGAAAGACAAGAATATTCTTTCGAATGTAAAATAAACTTACTTCATATTAGTTACATGTAACAATGTCCATTACACTCTCTATTTATTAACACTTCGAACATCTATGATTTAACATTTCAAATTAATTGTTATTCAGATAAATAAACTTTAATATTATTACTGTAATTTTTATCTATAAAATTATATTATTTTCTGCCATTTTGTTGTATTAATATGAAACCAATCTATAATAGGTCTTACTATTTAAAAGCGTTGCCACGACCATATTGAGGAACAGGGTCTTTTGTTTTATATTCTCTTCAGGTCTTCAAACTAAACAAGCGCTAATAATTTAAATAACCATTGGGAGGTAAAAGATCAAATTTTATCTACGATAGCCTATTTATGCAAAAAATCCACTTGAATATACACATTACATTGAATTATTTTAGTCAAGGTTTCTTTGATTGAATATCTAATATCCGTTCAATGTATTTAATTTCACGATATTGAATTGACAGATTTCAAATAAAACATAACAACAAACCAAAAAATAGGATGATACGTATTCCAATGAAACTAATTCATTATACATTTCTGTTGTGATATATATACTTTTTTCTTTATTTTTTTACTTCTTGTGAAATGCATAAATGATATCTTAAAGAATAGAAAATTGTATTGTTTCTTAAAACAGTGTCTTTCTAATTTTTGTTAATGTTTTATATGTGCTGTTTCGTTGTTTAATAATTATATTACAATTATTGGTTGTCAATATATTTTAATAAATGATGTACATATTCGTTATTGTTAATAGTTTTCTGTTGCTGTTCATTTGTTGTCATTGATTAGAATGTCGAATGTTTTCGTGTCTGTTCATTCTTGTGTCCGTGGCCTTTTAATTATGTCCTATTGTCGGTCTTGTAACTGTAACCAAAAGTGTTTGTGCCAAATTACGTCCAATGTTATTTTCTTATTTGTTAAAAACTTAGAAATGTAAACCCAGTGTTAAAAATAAAATAAAAACATGATTCGTATTACGTTTCATATGATTTTCATTTCCAAACCTGGCTCTATACACAATTGTTGCTGATTCTGTCTATATTTGTTGAGCTGTTAATTCCTTTTCTTTAAGACACAAAGCATTAATGAAAGAAGTCATGTTTAATGAAATATAGAACATTGATTGTATATGTTATGTTTTCTGTTTCTTTGTTCTATTTGAGTGAATGGTTATGTCCGTATTCTGTAGGTGGATGTGCCAATGCTGAATCTGACATCATCTTCATTTTGGATTCGTCCACTAGTGTCAGTGCACCAAATTTCAAGAAAATGCTAGAGTTTATTGTCGATTTTGTATCCGCTGCCGATATAGACAGTGGAAACGTGCGAATTGGGGCTGTTCTATACAGCACGGACGTAGAAATACAGTTCCATTTGAACAAGTATAGCACAAAACAAGAGGTCATAGATGCAGTAAAGGGAAATCCCATACGTTTATGGTAGCACAAACACTTACGGTGGACTCAACGTAATGCGCACGCAAATGTTCACGCAACAGAACGGAGATAGGCCTTCTGTAGCCAATATTGCTATTCTTCTTACGGACGGTGTCTCAAATGTAAATGCTTTTGATACGATTCCCGAGGCTGAAAAGGTTAGAGCTGACAACATCCACATCTATGGCATCGGTATTGGCCTAGCGGACACTAAGGAATTGAGCCAGATTGCGTCCTTACCAATCTCTGAGAATATGTTTGTGGTCAAGACCTTTGATGAGCTTTCCGTTTTGAAAGAAAAAGTGTTTGAACAGTTTTGTCCAGGTAGATATGAGCATGACTGATATGCCTTGATAATAGTAATTTCTTTTTATTTACAAATGAATCCAATCATACTCACAATATTCAAAGACTAACATATCGTATATCTGTGTATTTTGAGGCGTGCATGTGAATCTGCTTGTGAAATCAAAATGTGATAATGTGCAAAATGTTGGAAATCATCAAAAATATTGTAAATAAATGGCGTATTTCAAATGCATTACCATGTTTTAGATTACTCAATAAATTCTCATATTTTATATGAAAATGAATATGTCATTCGCACCAGAAATTATCATGTTTGATAGGCGTAAATTCAGTCATGTAGAGGACTGTGAAAATCCATATTCCTTATGATATTAAAATTAAACCTGAAAAAAATCCGATTCTACCGTTTTCAGATTACACGTTTTATTGATCAATTATTTCATATGCTAATCCGTTTAGGTCAATTTAATCAGTAACGGTTAATCTTTCTTTTGAGTCATCCTTTAATTAATTTTGTTATTCAATTTACTCACTTTTTTCTCCAGTCACATTCTCAATAAACATATTCATTGTTTTCCTCAAAAACTTAAGAGTATTCCATGTAATATACTCTATTTTTAAAGAAAATAATGTATCGGTATATCTATAAGGAAACAATATCATTCATTATTGATTCTCTTAAAATCTTTTGTCAGTTAACATGTCGTTATTTTACTGGGGTTAATTTCACTTTCTCTATAATTCATTTTATATGTGTGAAGCATATTTATCGACAGGAAAACAACCTAAGCCCAATATATCATATGAAGCACGGCTACGTAGTTCAGTTGAATTAACAAAGCTAAAAACTGAACAGATCAAAAACATTGTTAATTCCTAGTAGTGTGACGAATTCATATCAAGTCAATGGAAAGAAAAAGGTAGGTTTGTGAACAATACGACAAACAACTTGTAACTCTTATTTACATTATTTTACAAACATAATACATTGCAATTTATATAAGGAAAAACCGTCTTACACCCATGTTTCAATGTATACTTTCAATGGTTCACTCATATTTATTAATTTTATTTCCCTGACCTGCCCACGAAGGTAGAATATGACAAGAGGTCTTTTTTCTATACGATGTCCATGTCGTTTTAAATTAAGTTTCTTCATGAATAGCTAACTCATATAACGCAATTAGGGAAAATCATCATTGAGGGTGGCGGTGAAAATTTTAGGTAACTCAAATTACTTCTTCATTTGTTTAAACATCAATGAAAGCAGAAATTTCATTTAATACAAAACATGAATGACAGCATAATTCCAGACAAAACAGCAGTTCACAGTTTTGCATGATTCTTGAAATATCAAAAATGCATCAATACAGAGAAGTGAAAATCACAAAAAATACTATCTATTGTAAACACTTTTGGGGATGTGTCTGAATAGACATGTTGAGATGAATGAAATCTACTAATGAATAAGTGTGTACGTGTGTGTGCCAATGAGGTTTTCACTACTAATTTGCCAAAATATATAAGAGTGCGAGTGCATGTGTTTCTGTTTGTGCATTCTACCAGTATGTGCTTGTAGATATGAATAAACATGTAGATCTGTACTTGTTTTGTTTTTTTTCATAAAGGAGGATTCAAACAACCAACACGGGTACCAGTGACTCGTCCTCCAATCACTGTGGCCCCTACCGTAAGAGGTGAGATCATTGCATACATCTTTTTTTGTTGTTTTTATGCAGATAAAGAAATACACTCAACATTCAATTTCAGATAACACTGAATATGTGTGAATGTAAAATAAACTTATTAAATATTACCAACATATAAATATATTCATCATAGTATCTATTTGCTAACACTACGAACATCTCCAAGAAATAACATTTCAAATAATTTGTCATTAATATGAATAAAAAATGCTATTGTTAATGTAATTTTTATTTATAAATTTAAAATATTTTCTGTTGCCATTTTGCAGTATTAATTTAAAAGTAATATTTTAATGGCTTATGCGACTTCATAATTTTGCTGTGACCTTCCAGAGGATAGTTTAGTTTATTTCTTCTCCAGTACTTCAAAACCACACAAGCACCAATAATTAAAATAACCGAAAGGAGGAAGAGCTCAGTATTGTTTTATCTATGATAGCATATTATTCAAAGAATCCATATGAATATACAAATTGTACTGAGTTAATTTAGTCAAGGTTTATTTGCTTGAATGTTTTATATCAGTTAAAAATACTTTTATTGAAATGATATCTATCAAAGAGATTATTACAAAAAAAGTAAGGATATCTACTTCATTTAAACAACTGGATTATATATGGTTGTTGTATCACATATCCATTTATTTTTGCTTCTGAATCTGCATGAAATACATACACGATATTATCTTAAAAAATGTACCATTCTATTATTTCTTTAAATAAAGTTTTGCCTATTTTTGGTCGTATTTTATATATGCTGTTTAATTGTTTAATAATCATGTTAGAATTTTGGTTGTCAATATATCATAATTAATGTTGTCCAAATACCATATTTTTACTGTTTTCTATTGCGGTTTATTTACTGTCATTGGTTAGAATCCTAAATGTTTTTGTATCTGTTCATTCTTGTGTCTTGTGTCTTACCTTTACTTATGTCCTATTGTCGGTATTGTCATTGTAACAAAGTGTCTTTGTGCCAAATTATGTCCAATGTTATTTTCATTATGTTAGAAAGTTAAAAATATAAACCCAGACTTCAAACTGAAAAAAGCCTGCAGATCGTATTACACTTCATATTATTACAAATGTCGAATCCTAGCTCCATACACGATTGTTATTCATTTTGTCTATATTTGTGCAGCTGTTAATTCCTTTCCAATCTTTAACATACAAAGCATTCATGTTGTATGAAATATAGAACAGTGATTGTATATGCTATGTTTTCTGTTTCTTTGTTCTTTTTGTGTGAATGGTTATGTCCGTATTCTGTAGGTGGATGTGCCAATGCTGAATCTGACATCATCTTCATTTTGGATTCGTCCACTAGTGTCAGTGCACCAAATTTCAAGAAAATGTTAGAGTTTATTGTCGATTTTGTATCCGCTGCCGATATAGACAGTGGAAACGTGCGAATTGGGGCTGTTCTATACAGCACGGACGTAGAAATACAGTTCCATTTGAACGAGCATAGCACAAAACAAGAGGTCATAGATGCAGTAAGGGAAATCCCATACGTTTATGGTAGCACAAACACTTACGGGGGACTCAACGTAATGCGCACGCAAATGTTCACACAACAGAACGGAGATAGGCCTTCTGTAGCCAACATTGCTATTCTTCTCACGGACGGTGTCTCAAATGTAAATGCTTTTGATACGATTCCCGAAGCTGAAAAGGTTAGAGCTGACAACATCCATATCTATGGCATCGGTATTGGCCTAGCTGACACTAAAGAATTGAGCCAAATTGCATCTCCACCAATCTCTGAGAATATGTTCGTGGTCAAGACCTTTGATGAGCTTTCTGTTTTGAAAGAAAAAGTGTTTGAGCAGTTTTGTCCAGGTAGATATGAGCATGTCTGATATGCCTTGATAAAAGAAATTTTTTTTTTAATTTACAAATGAATCAAATTATACTCACAATATGCAACGACTAATATATCGTATATCTGTGCGTTTTGCAGCGTGTATGTGTATCTGCTTGTGAAATTAAAATGAGATTATGCAAAATACAAGACGTAAGAACAACTTATCCCAAAATGTATGTAAATAACTGGCATATTTAAAATGCATGACAATGTTTCTTATTACTTAATCAATTCTCATATTATTGGTGCGAAACTGAATATATGATACGCACGTGAAATTATCACTGTCGATAAGTGTAAATTCAATCTGTGCAGAGGACTAGTAAAAATCTATATTCATTACTATATTAAAAAGTAAATCTGAAAAATTGCGATTCTACCGTATTCGAATTACAACACGTTTTATTGATCAATTATTTCATATGCTTATTAATTTGAGTTAGACTTTCTTTCACTCATTCTTCAAATAACTTAATTTTTCTTATTCAGTTTGTTCTCTTTACTTTCTTTCACCAGTCATGTCCTCAATAAAAATACTTATTGATTTCATAAAGCCTAATGGTATGCTATCCGATGTATTAAATATCATGTTTTGCAAGATGAATACTATATCCGTCGCACTATTTGGAATCAAAACCATTCATTGTTGATACTATTTATTTGTCAGTTTTGTTTCCTGACCATTCACTGTTGATACTATTTAAAGCATTTATCAATGTCATTTTTTATTTGAATTAATTTCATTTTCTCCATGATTAATTTTATAGATATAAAGAATGCTTATTGACAAGTGAACACCAAAAAGTAATAAATCTTACGAAGCACGGCTACAGTGTTCAATTGAATTAACTTATGCTAGAAAGTAAACATTTCAGAAACATTGTTATTTTTTAGTACTGTGACGCATTCATTTAATCAACTAAAAGATAAAAGTATGTTTATGAACATTATGATGGACAAATTGCAATTCTTATTTACATTATTTTACAAACATAATGCATGATAACTGTTAACTTAGAGAAGAACCGTTTTACTCACACATTTAAATGAATATTATCAAGAGCTCACTCATATTTATTGATACTATTTACTTACCTATTCAAAAAGGCAGAATGTGACACAAAGGCCTTTTTTTTCTCTGTCGTATCAATGTGGTTCTAAATTACGGTTTGTTTTCCTGAATAGTTAAATAATATAGGACAATTACTAAAAATCGTCATTGAAGTGGGAGGTAACAATGTTATATAGCCCAAATTATTTTTCTCTTCTTTGAACATCAAGGAAAATAGAAATTGAATTTTACTACAAAGCATGGATGACAGCATAACCACTCGAAAATAGCAGTTCTCAGTCTTGCATGATTCTTGAAATATCAAGATTACAACAATACACAGAAATGCAAATCACAAATAATACTGTGTATTAATTAGTAAATACTTTGTTTTAGATGTATCTGAATAGATACGCTGAAAAGAGTGAAAGCTACTAATGAATGTGTGTGCGCGTGTGTATGTGCCCGTGTATCTTTCGCTACGAAATTGCCTGCATTTATAAGAGTGCGTGTGCATGTATTTTTGTGTGTGTGCATTCTACCAGTACATACTTGTCGATATGAATAAACATGTAGATATGTACTTTTTTTTTCAATAAAGGAGGCTTCGAACAACCATCACGGGCACCAGTGACACGACCTCCAATCACTGTGGCCCCTACCACAAGAGGTGAGATTATTGCACATATTTTTATTTATTTTATACAAATAGAAAGATACGGTCAAAATACACTTTCACATTACGTTGAATAGAAATGTGTAGGTAATGACAAGAATATTCTTGTGAATGTAAAATAAAATTACTTAATATTATCTGCATGTAATCATATCTATTACATTCTATATTTATTAACACTTCGAACATCTTATAGCATTAAAAAAATTACCCATTAACATAAATAAACTTTATTACATTTATTGTAATTTGCATTTATAAAATTTGAATAAATTTATATTGCAATTTTGCTGTATTAATTTGAAAGCAATATTTTAATGGCTCTTGCAATTTCACAATCTCGGTGTAATCTTCCTGAGGATCATTTATTTTATTTCTTCTCCAGCTCTTCCAACTACACAAGGGCCAATAATTAAAATAACCGCTGGGGGTAAGAGATCAATTATATTTTATCTACCATAGCTTATTATACAAAGAATCCACTAGAATATACACATTATATTGAATTCATTTTGTCAAGCTTTATTTGCCTGACTATTTACTATCAGTTCAAGAATACAAATTATTTTTACGACAGTAAAACGACATCTATCAAAGAAATTATTACTGAAAAATAAGATAGGTTGATATCTACTTCAATATAACTACTGCGTTGTACATGTGTTGTAATATATATGTACATTATTATCTTTGCTTCTAACTTAAATAAAATAAATACACGATATTAGCTTAAAGAGAAGAAAATTCAGTTGTTTCTTTTAATACAGTCTCTTGCCTATTTTTGTTCATGATTTATATGTGTTGTTTCATTGTTTAATAAACATGTTGCAATTTTTAGTTGTCAATATATCATAATAAATGATGTCCATATTCGTTATTGTTTATGGTTTCCTGTTGCTGTTCATTTGTTGTCATTGATTAGAATGTCGAATGTCTTCATGTCTGTTCATTCTTGTGTCTTTGGCCTTTTAATTATGTCCAATTGTTGGTCTTGTAACTAACTGTAACCAAAAGTCTTCGTGTCTAATTATGTCTAATGTTATTTTCCTTTATGTTAGAAACTTAGAAAAGTAAACGAATGTTCGAAATAAAATAAAACCGTGATTAGTTTTAAATTTCATATTACAATTGTCGAATCCCAGCTCTATATACGATTGTTTTTCATTTTGTCTATATTTGTGCAGCTGTTAATTCCTTTCCAATCTTTAACATACAAAGCATTCATGTTGTATGAAATATAGAACAGTGATTGTATATGTTATGTTTTCTGTTTCTTTGTTCTTTTTGTGTGAATGGTTATGTCCGTATTCTGTAGGTGGATGTGCCAATGCTGAATCTGACATCATCTTCATTTTGGATTCGTCCACTAGTGTCAGTGCACCAAATTTCAAGAAAATGTTAGAGTTTATTGTCGATTTTGTATCCGCTGCCGATATAGACAGTGGAAACGTGCGAATTGGGGCTGTTCTATACAGCACGGACGTAGAAATACAGTTCCATTTGAACGAGCATAGCACAAAACAAGAGGTCATAGATGCAGTAAGGGAAATCCCATACGTCTATGGTAGCACAAACACTTACGGTGGACTCAACGTAATGCGCACACAAATGTTCACGCAGCAGAACGGAGATAGGCCTTCTGTAGCCAACATTGCTATTCTTCTTACGGACGGTGTCTCAAATGTAAATGCTTTTGATACGATTCCCGAAGCTGAAAAGGTTAGAGCTGACAACATCCACATTTATGGCATCGGTATTGGCCTAGCCGACACTAAAGAATTGAGCCAAATTGCATCTCTACCAATCTCTGAGAATATGTTTGTGGTCAAGACCTTTGATGAGCTTTCTGTTTTGAAAGAAAAAGTGTTTGAGCAGTTTTGTCCAGGTAGATATGAGCATGTCTGATATGCCTTGATAACAGAATTTTTTTTTTATTTACAAATGAATCAAATTATACTCACAATATGCAACGACTAATATATCGTATATCTGTGCGTTTTGCAGCGTGTATGTGTATCTGCTTGTGAAATTAAAATGAGATTATGCAAAATACAAGACGTAAGAACAACTTATCCCAAAATGTATGTAAATAACTGGCATATTTAAAATGCATGACAATGTTTCTTATTACTTAATCAATTCTCATATTATTTGTGCGAAACTGAATATATGATACGCACGTGAAATTATCACTGTCGATAAGTGTAAATTCAATCTGTGCAGAGGACTAGTAAAAATCTATATTCATTACTATATTAAAAAGTAAATCTGAAAAAATAGCAATTCTACCGTATTCAAGTTACTACACGTTTTATTGATCAATTATTTTATATTCTCATTTGAGTCCATTTAATTACTACCTTTTAATGCTTCTTTGTTCAAATAACTAAATTTTTCTTATTTAATTTACTCACTTTACTTTCTTTCACCAGTCATGTCCTCAACATACTCATTGATTTAATGTAAAACCTAATGGTATGCCATCCGACATATTCAATAATTTGTTTTGCAAAATGTATACTACATCCTAGCGCTATAAGGAAACAAAACCATTCATTGTTGATACTATTTAAATTATTTGTCAGTTTACATGTCATTTTTTATTTGAATTAATTTCATTTTCTCCATGATTAATTTTATAGATATAAAGAATGCTTATTGACAAGTGAACACCAAAAAGTAATAAATCTTACGAAGCACGGCTACAGTGTTCAATTGAATTAACTTATGCTAGAAAGTAAACATTTCAGAAACATTGTTATTTTTTAGTACTGTGACGCATTCATTTAATCAACTAAAAGATAAAAGTATGTTTATGAACATTATGATGGACAAATTGCAATTCTTATTTACATTATTTTACAAACATAATGCATGATAACTGTTAACTTAGAGAAGAACCGTTTTACTCACACATTTAAATGAATATTATCAAGAGCTCACTCATATTTATTGATACTATTTACTTACCTATTCCAAAAAGGCAGAATGTGACACAAAGGCCTTTTTTTTCTCTGTCGTATCAATGTGGTTCTAAATTACGGTTTGTTTTCCTGAATAGTTAAATAATATAGGACGCAATTACTAAAAATCGTCATTGAAGTGGGAGGTAACAATGTTATATAGCCCAAATTATTTTTCTCTTCTTTGAACATCAAGGAAAATAGAAATTGAATTTTACTACAAAGCATGGATGACAGCATAACCACTCGAAAATAGCAGTTCTCAGTCTTGCATGATTCTTGAAATATCAAGATTACAACAATACACAGAAATGCAAATCACAAATAATACTGTGTATTAATTAGTAAATACTTTGTTTTAGATGTATCTGAATAGATACGCTGAAAAGAGTGAAAGCTACTAATGAATGTGTGTGCGCGTGTATGTGCCCGTGTATCTTTCGCTACGAAATTGCCTGCATTTATAAGAGTGCGTGTGCATGTATTTCTGTGTGTGTGCATTCTACCAGTACATACTTGTCGATATGAATAAACATGTAGATATGTACTTTTTTTCAATAAAGGAGGCTTCGAACAACCATCACGGGCACCAGTGACACGACCTCCAATCACTGTGGCCCCTACCACAAGAGGTGAGATAATTGCACATATTTTTATTTATTTTATACAAATAGAAAGATACGGTCAAAATACACTTTCACATTACGTTGAATAGAAATGTGTAGGTAATGACAAGAATATTCTTGTTAATGTAAAATAAAATTACTTAATATTATCTGCATGTAATCATATCTATTACATTCTATATTTATTAACACTTCGAACATCTTATAGCATTAAAAAATATTACCCATTAACATAAATAAACTTTATTACATTTATTGTAATTTGCATTTATAAAATTTGAATAAATTTATATTGCAATTTTGCTGTATTAATTTGAAAGCAATATTTTAATGGCTCTTGCAATTTCACAATCTCGGTGTAATCTTCCTGAGGATCATTTATTTTATTTCTTCTCCAGCTCTTCCAACTACACAAGGGCCAATAATTAAAATAACCGCTGGGGGTAAGAGATCAATTATATTTTATCTACCATAGCTTATTATACAAAGAATCCACTAGAATATACACATTATATTGAATTCGTTTTGTCAAGCTTTATTTGCCTGACTATTTACTATCAGTTCAAGAATACAAATTATTTTTACGACAGTAAAACGACATCTATCAAAGAAATTATTACTGAAAAATAAGATAGGTTGATATCTACTTCAATATAACTACTGCGTTGTACATGTGTTGTAATATATATATACATTATTATCTTTGCTTCTAACTTAAATAAAATAAATACACGATATTAGCTTAAAGAGAAGAAAATTCAGTTGTTTCTTTTAATACAGTCTCTTGCCTATTTTTGTTCATGATTTATATGTGTTGTTTCATTGTTTAATAAACATGTTGCAATTTTTAGTTGTCAATATATCATAATAAATGATGTCCATATTCGTTATTGTTTATGGTTTCCTGTTGCTGTTCATTTGTTGTCATTGATTAGAATGTCGAATGTCTTCATGTCTGTTCATTCTTGTGTCTTTGGCCTTTTAATTATGTCCAATTGTTGGTCTTGTAACTAACTGTAACCAAAAGTCTTCGTGTCTAATTATGTCTAATGTTATTTTCCTTTATGTTAGAAACTTAGAAAAAGTAAACGAATGTTCGAAATAAAATAAAACCGTGATTAGTTTTAAATTTCATATTACAATTGTCGAATCCCAGCTCTATATACGATTGTTTTTCATTTTGTCTATATTTGTGCAGCTGTTAATTCCTTTCCAATCTTTAACATACAAAGCATTCATGTTGTATGAAATATAGAACAGTGATTGTATATGTTATGTTTTCTGTTTCTTTGTTCTTTTGTGTGAATGGTTATGTCCGTATTCTGTAGGTGGATGTGCCAATGCTGAATCTGACATCATCTTCATTTTGGATTCGTCCACTAGTGTCAGTGCACCAAATTTCAAGAAAATGTTAGAGTTTATTGTCGATTTTGTATCCGCTGCCGATATAGACAGTGGAAACGTGCGAATTGGGGCTGTTCTATACAGCACGGACGTAGAAATACAGTTCCATTTGAACGAGCATAGCACAAAACAAGAGGTCATAGATGCAGTAAGGGAAATCCCATACGTCTATGGTAGCACAAACACTTACGGTGGACTCAACGTAATGCGCACACAAATGTTCACGCAGCAGAACGGAGATAGGCCTTCTGTAGCCAACATTGCTATTCTTCTTACGGACGGTGTCTCAAATGTAAATGCTTTTGATACGATTCCCGAAGCTGAAAAGGTTAGAGCTGACAACATCCACATTTATGGCATCGGTATTGGCCTAGCTGACACTAAAGAATTGAGCCAAATTGCATCTCTACCAATCTCTGAGAATATGTTTGTGGTCAAGACCTTTGATGAGCTTTCTGTTTTGAAAGAAAAAGTGTTTGAGCAGTTTTGTCCAGGTAGATATGAGCATGTCTGATATGCCTTGATAACAGAATTTTTTTTTATTTACAAATGAATCAAATTATACTCACAATATGCAACGACTAATATATCGTATATCTGTGCGTTTTGCAGCGTGTATGTGTATCTGCTTGTGAAATTAAAATGAGATTATGCAAAATACAAGACGTAAGAACAACTTATCCCAAAATGTATGTAAATAACTGGCATATTTAAAATGCATGACAATGTTTCTTATTACTTAATCAATTCTCATATTATTTGTGCGAAACTGAATATATGATACGCACGTGAAATTATCACTGTCGATAAGTGTAAATTCAATCTGTGCAGAGGACTAGTAAAAATCTATATTCATTACTATATTAAAAAGTAAATCTGAAAAAATAGCAATTCTACCGTATTCAAGTTACTACACGTTTTATTGATCAATTATTTTATATTCTCATTTGAGTCCATTTAATTACTACCTTTTAATGTTTCTTTCACTCATTGTTCAAATAACTAAATGTTTTTCATTTGATTTACTCACTTTACTTTCTTTCACCTGTCATGTCCTCAACATACTCATTGATTTAATGTAAAACCTAATGGTATGCCATCCGACATATTCAATAATTTGTTTTGCAAAATGCATACTACATCCTAGCGCTATAAGGAAACAAAACCATTCATTGTTGATACTATTTAAATTATTTGTCAGTTTACATGTCATTTTTTTATTTGAATTAATTTCATTTTCTCCATGATTAATTTTATAGATATAAAGAATGCTTATTGACAAGTGAACACCAAAAAGTAATAAATCTTACGAAGCACGGCTACAGTGTTCAATTGAATTAACTTATGCTAGAAAGTAAACATTTCAGAAACATTGTTATTTTTTAGTACTGTGACGCATTCATTTAATCAACTAAAAGATAAAAGTATGTTTATGAACATTATGATGGACAAATTGCAATTCTTATTTACATTATTTTACAAACATAATGCATGATAACTGTTAACTTAGAGAAGAACCGTTTTACTCACACATTTAAATGAATATTATCAAGAGCTCACTCATATTTATTGATACTATTTACTTACCTATTCCAAAAAGGCAGAATGTGACACAAGGCCTTTTTTTCTCTGTCGTATCAATGTGGTTCTAAATTACGGTTTGTTTTCCTGAATAGTTAAATAATATAGGACGCAATTACTAAAAATCGTCATTGAAGTGGGAGGTAACAATGTTATATAGCCCAAATTATTTTTCTCTTCTTTGAACATCAAGGAAAATAGAAATTGAATTTTACTACAAAGCATGGATGACAGCATAACCACTCGAAAATAGCAGTTCTCAGTCTTGCATGATTCTTGAAATATCAAGATTACAACAATACACAGAAATGCAAATCACAAATAATACTGTGTATTAATTAGTAAATACTTTGTTTTAGATGTATCTGAATAGATACGCTGAAAAGAGTGAAAGCTACTAATGAATGTGTGTGCGCGTGTATGTGCCCGTGTATCTTTCGCTACGAAATTGCCTGCATTTATAAGAGTGCGTGTGCATGTATTTCTGTGTGTGTGCATTCTACCAGTACGTACTTGTCGATATGAATAAACATGTAGATATGTACTTTTTTTCAATAAAGGAGGCTTCGAACAACCATCACGGGCACCAGTGACACGACCTCCAATCACTGTGGCCCCTACCACAAGAGGTGAGATTATTGCACATATTTTTATTTATTTTATACAAATAGAAAGATACGGTCAAAATACACTTTCACATTACGTTGAATAGAAACGTGTAGGTAATGACAAGAATATTCTTGTGAATGTAAAATAAAATTACTTAATATTATCTGCATGTAATCATATCTATTACATTCTATATTTATTAACACTTCGAACATCTTATAGCATTAAAAAATATTACCCATTAACATAAATAAACTTTATTACATTTATTGTAATTTGCATTTATAAAATTTGAATAAATTTATATTGCAATTTTGCTGTATTAATTTGAAAGCAATATTTTAATGGCTCTTGCAATTTCACAATCTCGGTGTAATCTTCCTGAGGATCATTTATTTTATTTCTTCTCCAGCTCTTCCAACTACACAAGGGCCAATAATTAAAATAACCGCTGGGGTAAGAGATCAATTATATTTTATCTACCATAGCTTATTATACAAAGAATCCACTAGAATATACACATTATATTGAATTCATTTTGTCAAGCTTTATTTGCCTGACTATTTACTATCAGTTCAAGAATACAAATTATTTTTACGACAGTAAAACGACATCTATCAAAGAAATTATTACTGAAAAATAAGATAGGTTGATATCTACTTCAATATAACTACTGCGTTGTACATGTGTTGTAATATATATATACATTATTATCTTTGCTTCTAAATTAAATAAAATAAATACACGATATTAGCTTAAAGAGAAGAAAATTCAGTTGTTTCTTTTAATACAGTCTCTTGCCTATTTTTGTTCATGATTTATATGTGTTGTTTCATTGTTTAATAAACATGTTGCAATTTTTAGTTGTCAATATATCATAATAAATGATGTCCATATTCGTTATTGTTTATGGTTTCCTGTTGCTGTTCATTTGTTGTCATTGATTAGAATGTCGAATGTCTTCATGTCTGTTCATTCTTGTGTCTTTGGCCTTTTAATTATGTCCAATTGTTGGTCTTGTAACTAACTGTAACCAAAAGTCTTCGTGTCTAATTATGTCTAATGTTATTTTCCTTTATGTTAGAAACTTAGAAAAGTAAACGAATGTTCGAAATAAAATAAAACCGTGATTAGTTTTAAATTTCATATTACAATTGTCGAATCCCAGCTCTATATACGATTGTTTTTCATTTTGTCTATATTTGTGCAGCTGTTAATTCCTTTCCAATCTTTAACATACAAAGCATTCATGTTGTATGAAATATAGAACAGTGATTGTATATGTTATGTTTTCTGTTTCTTTTTGTTCTTTTGTGTGAATGGTTATGTCCGTATTCTGTAGGTGGATTTGCCAATGCTGAATCTGACATCATCTTCATTTTGGATTCGTCCACTAGTGTCAGTGCACCAAATTTCAAGAAAATGTTAGAGTTTATTGTCGATTTTGTATCCGCTGCCGATATAGACAGTGGAAACGTGCGAATTGGGGCTGTTCTATACAGCACGGACGTAGAAATTCAGTTCCATTTGAACGAGTATAGCACAAAACAAGAGGTCATAGATGCAGTAAGGGAAATCCCATACGTCTATGGTAGCACAAACACTTACGGTGGACTCAACGTAATGCGCACGCAAATGTTCACGCAGCAGAACGGAGATAGGCCTTCTGTAGCCAACATTGCTATTCTTCTTACGGTCGGTGTCTCAAATGTAAATGCTTTTGATACGATTCCCGAAGCTGAAAAGGTTAGAGCTGACAACATCCACATCTATGGCATCGGTATTGGCCTAGCCGACACTAAAGAATTGAGCAAAATTGCATCTCCACCAATCTCTGAGAATATGTTCGTGGTCAAGACCTTTGATGAGCTTTCTGTTTTGAAAGAAAAAGTGTTTGAGCAGTTTTATCCAGGTAGATATGAGCATGTCTGATATGCCTTGATAATAGTAATATCTTTCTATTTACAAATGAATCAAATTATACTCACAATATGCAACGACTAATAAATACATCGTATATCTGTGCGTTTTGGAGCGTGTGTGTGGATCTGCTTGTGAAATTAAAATGAGATTGTGCAAAGTACAACACGTAACAACAACTTATCCCATAATGTATGTAAATAACTGGCATATTTAAATTGCATGATCATGTTTCTTATTACTTAAAGAATTCTCCTATTATTTGTGCTAATATTCAAGCTAATAGATTCAATTTAATATTTCCAATAAGCTAAATATTTTACTCTACTTCGCATCTAATTTAAATTGACTGGAGAGAGCTCTTTTTTTCTCAAAAAAAAAGCATGATTTCACTGCCATTTTTAGCTATCGTTAACTTAATCGTAATATAATTCTTTCAAATTTAATGTATTTTTCTGACACTTTATTTGAGAAATATTAGCTGATTTAAAGTTTACTTAATCTCCTTTAAAACAAATATTACTTATTTTGAGTTTATAAAATATAGTTGAAATGTATTTTTTTAATACAGCGGTAGCTGTTTAAGATGATGACAGCTTGATGACAGATGGATGTTCACCCAATGTTTTACTACGGTGGATATATCCATCAACAAGAATTGAAGAATATAATTAAAGAATATAATTTTATATAATTTTTAGATACTCAGTAATCTTACAAATTTCGCAAAATATTCTCTGTAATCTAAGATTTTATTAAATCTTAAATACTTTGGCTTTAAATTTATTATCGTTATTGTAGAACCCAAATTCTACATTACACAATACCTAAAAATAGTTTGGTCAAATCTGTGCAAAAAGTGGATCACAGAATACTTCATACACTTTCAAAAAAATCTCGAGCTCTCATTGGTTCACAAATATACAAGTAGGAGTGACTATCTACCCACGCTTAACTAATTTTTACAGCACGTGACTGAAATCCAAGTTCGCGCCAAGTCTCTGTGAGCCACCCAAAGCAAATAAAAACAGAAACTCATTCTCACTCGCCAGTAAGCATAAACCATTCCTCCTTTTCAGCCTTGTGCCATAATTGTATTTATATACAATAAATATCAAGCATTGTGACATCAAACGAATTGTAACTAAACTTCAGGTCACACAATCTTAAGTTTTTCGTTCATACGAACATTATACAACTTAACGATATTCACACTCACTCACTCACTAAAACTCACCAATGAACTCTATTCCCATTCACTCACAAATTCCTGCTAACAAATCAACTTTATTTCTTAACATTCAAGAAAATTGTATTACGCAAAAAAAATCAAAGGTAGATAACTTCTTTGATCACAAAATTGCATTCAAATTTACAATCATTTACTACTTACATGAACAGGAAATTCTTGAATTTTTCTCTTGCAATTAATTTACAGAATCTTCAATAAAAGATTCTAACAAACATCATTTCAAATTAGAACTCATTAACAAAATTTAATCTTTTACTAAACACGAGTTCAACATAAATTAAACTAACAAGATTTCACTTAAAAAAATCCACATTTTGTAAAATATTTTCATTACAAAAATATATTGAAAATTACTTATTCAAATATTTGCCTTTTTCTTTTATCACAAATGTTTCTTGTTGTTTTTGCATTTTGCTTAACATATTCGAAGAATAAAAAATTGTATGGATTGATTTGGGCCGTCAACACCATTAAATAAATGGTAACCACCAAATTTTCCACTACATTATCGCTCTTATTTTCAGATAATCTCGTGTATGAACAACCGTATCTACAAAAATCGGCACGTTTATACACATAAAAAAATGCTTTTTAAAATACTAGATGACCTTAAATTGTAAGAAGCTTTTCGATTTATGATTAGTATAGTCTTTTACTTAATAACAATATTCCCTAAACCTTTACACCACTGAAACTGAATTTTAAAAGATTTTAAAAACTTTATAATTTATTCTAATTGAAATTTTAAAAATTAAAACAAATCTTGCAAAAATTCTTCGAAAAAAGGTTTGTTTCTTAAGACAATAGTTCCCTTAATATTCATAAAAGCAATTAAAAGATTAAGTAGATGTCTTAGTTCTTTTATTGAACTTAAATAATGCCTTCGTTTTATTGCAGTTTTTATTTTACGATTCAGAGCAGATTTTAGGTGAGACGTGGTCCTATTTTCAAACAAAAAAATAAATAAATAAATAAATAAATAAATAAAATAAAATTAATGATTTAAATTCTCCAAGGAGTTCTGCTTTTAAATAATATAGTCATTTTAACATTATCGTTGAATTTCTCGAATTTTCATAAAATTAAGTAAGTGGGGTGTAACATGTAAACCTATTTTTACCAAGATGTTATTTTAAAATTTCTGAAATAATTTAATTCATTTTTTAATAAGTCCTGAAATTTTCATTAAAATCCGACAATTATTTGATTTTTGAGAGAATTTCAAAATCAATGTGTCTTTCATCGCAAAAAAGATGCTAAAATTTGCTATGCTAATATACAGTCCTCCCGCTGACGCATGAAAAACAAGATTTTTAACCAAAATTTCGAAGTTCTAAAAAGAATTAAAAAATATAATTAAATAATCATAAAATACTTTGCTCTTTCCTCTTAATAATAAAGATTTTGACAATAAAAGTTCTTATCAAGTTTGGGGCATTTTTTCATCATATTATGCTCTTTTTTTAGTGAATTAGTGGAAGGGCCTAGACTCAATATATCTTATGAAGCACGACTGACTATGTAGTTCAATAGAATTAGCAAAGCTAGAAAGTAAACAGATCGGAAACATTGTTAATTCTTAGTAGTGTGACGAATACATATCCAATCAAGGAAAAGAAAAAGAGAAAGTTTGTGAACAACATGTCGAACAACTTACAAATCTTATCTACATTATTTTACAAACATATAGTAAGATAAGAGCCATTTTCTACACACATTTCAATGGATATTCACACTCATATTTATTGATATTTTTTACCTCACCTCCTCAAAAATTTGGTATGTGACACAAGGCCTTTTTTCAGTTTTACCGATGAGGTTTTAAATTAAATTTTGTTTTTCTGAATGGTTAAATCAACACAAAGTAGTGCAAATCCTAAAGAACACTATCTATTAATTAATAATAAATACTTTTCTTGCATGTATCTGAGACATGTTGAGATGAGCGAAACCTACTAATGAATGCGTGTGTGCGTGTATGTGCACGTGTGTCTTTCACTATGAATTTGTCAACATATATAAAAGTGCGTGTATATGTGTTTATGTATGTGAATTCTATCAGTGCGTGCTTGTCGATATGAATAAACAAGTAGATCTGTACTTTTTTTTCAATAAAGGAGGCTTCAAACAACCATCACGGGCACCAGTGACCCGACCTCCAATCACTGTGGCCTCTAGCACAACAGGTGAGATCATTGCGCACATCTTCTTTGATTTTATACAGATAAAAATACAGTCAACTGACTCAAAATCTATTTTCACATTATGTTGAATAGAACTGTGTAATTAAAGACAAGAATATTCGTGCGAATGTAAAATAAATTATTTAATATTTCCTACATGTAACCATATCCATCAGAGTCTCTATTTAGTAAAACATGGAGCATCTAGAATTTAGTATTTCAAAATATTTCCCATTAACATAAATATACTTATTATTTTTATCGTAATTTATATTCATAAAATTACATAATTTTCTATTGCCATGTTGCTGTATTAATTTGAAAGCAATCTTTTAATGGCTCTTGCAATTTCATAATATCTCGCTGGGATCTTCCTGAGGATCATTTATTTTATTTCTTCTCCAGCACTTCAAACCTCAAAAGCACCAATGATTAAAATAACCGCTGGGGGTAAGAGAACAATTATATTTTATCTACCACAGCTTATTATGCAAAGAATCTACTTGAATATTTATAGACTTTATGCTGAATTATTTTAGTCATGATTTAATTGCTTGACTATTTAATAACAGTTAAAAAATAATTAATTTTCTTGTATTAAAACAATAGCTATCAAGCAAATTCTGACATATCTATTTCAATGAATTATACATATCTGTTGTGATACACATATATTTTCTTTCTTATTTCTCATGAAATGCATACATCTTATAATATAATTTTTAAGAATAGAAAATTGTATGGTTCCTTTTAATAGTCTCTATTTCTTTGTTCATGTTTCATATATGCTGTTTAATTGTTTGATAGCCATGTTGCAATACATGTTTGTCAATATATCCTAATAAATGATGTCCATATTCGTTACAGTTTCTTGTTGCTGTCCATATTGTCAATGATTAGAACACTTTCTTCATGTTTGTTCATTTTTGTATCTGTTGCCATTTACCTATGTCCTATTGTTGATCTTGTCATTGTGATAAAATCATTGTGCCAATTAATGTTCAATGTTATTTTCTCAGATGTTAGAAACTTAGAAATGTAAACCAATGTTCAAACTGAAAAAAGCCTGCGGATCGTATTAAACTTCATATTATTACCATTGCCACATTATGGTTCCACATACTATTATTGTTCATTTTGTCTATATTTGTGCTGCTGTTAATTCCTTTCCAATCTTTAACATACAAAGCATTCATGTTGTATGAAATATAGAACAGTGATTGTATATGTTATGTTTTTTATTTCTTTGTTCTATTTGTGTGAATGGTTATGTCCGTATTCTGTAGGTGGATGTGCCAATGCTGAATCTGACATCATCTTCATTTTGGATTCGTCCACTAGTGTCAGTGCACCAAATTTCAAGAAAATGCTAGAGTTTATTGTCGATTTTGTATCCGCTGCCGATATAGACAGTGGGAACATGCGAATTGGTGCTGTTCTATACAGCACGGACGTAGAAATACAATTCCACTTGAACGAGTATAGCACAAAACAAGAGGTCATAAATGCAGTAAGGGAAATCCCATACGTCTATGGTAGCACAAACACTTACGGGGGACTCAACGTAATGCGCACGC